TTCATACATGAGCAAAGAGATTTCAGGCATTTATAGGAGTATTTGTATGCATTTATGTATTGTGTATATTCGTGTTTTAAGCATTCAGTTTATTAGGTACACTTGTTCAATTGCTTGGTAGCACAAATTGCTAATCAGCCAATCACATGGTAGCAACTCAATGCATTTAGGCATCTAGACGTGGTGAAGACGACTTGCTGAAGTTCAAACCGAGCATCAAAATGGGGAAGAAAGGAGATTTAAGTGATTTTGAATGTGGCATGGTTGTTGGTGCCAGACGGGCTGGTCTGTGTATTTCAAAAAAAGCTGATCTACTGGGATTTTTACACACAACCATCTCTAGGGTGTACAGAGAATGGTCCGAAAAAGAGAAAATATCCAGTGAGCGGCAGTTGTGTGAAGGAAAATGCCTTGTTGATGTCAGAGGAGAATGGACAGACTGGTTGCTGCACATTCAGATGGTAGGGTCAAAATCAACGTTTCAGACTGATGGTGGTGTAAAGGTGTGAGGGATATTTTCTTGGCACACTTTTGACCCCAAGTGAGCATTGTTTAAACATCACAGCCTACCAGAGTATTGTTGCTGACCATGTCCTTTCCTTTATGACTCCAGTGTCCCCATCTTCTGATGGCTCCTTCCAGCAGGATAATGCTCCATGTCACAAAGCTCAAATCATCTCAACCTGGTTTGTTGAACATGACAATGAGGTCACTGTACTCCAATGGCCTCCACAGTCACCAGATCTCCATCCAATAGAGCACCTTTGGGATGTGGTGGAATGGGAGATTTCCATCATAGATGTGCAGCTGACAAATCTGCAGCAACTATGTGATGCTATAATGTCAATATGGACTGTTTCCAAAACTGTTGAATCTATGCCATGAAGAATTAGGGCAGTTCTGAAGGCAAAAGGGGTCCAACCTGGTACTAGAAAGGTGGACCTAATACAGTGGATTACAGAGAGTGGTCTGAAAAAAGAGAAAAATATCCAGTGAGCAGCAGTTGTGTAGATGAAAATGCCTTGTTGATGTCAGAGGAGAATGGGGAGACTGGTTCGAGATGATAGAAAGGCAACAGTAACTCATGTCAGTATGGACCAAAATCTCTGAAGAATGTTTCCTACACCTTGTTGAATCTATGCCACAAAGAATGAAGGCAGTTCAGAAGGCAAAAGGGGGTCCAACCTGGTACTAGCAAAGTGTACCTAATAAAGTGTCCAGTGGGTGTATGTATTCAAGTTTCAGGCCTTTTGGTAAGCAGGGGAAAAGAGACTAGTTCTTATAGGTGGAGGCCTCATCCACTCAACTTGACAGTTGCACAGGTCCAGGTAAGCGGCCTCAAGTGCACACGCACTGCGCTCAGGGCCGCTCACCCTTACTGCTGTTGAATTGGAGCAATCAGCTGTGTCTATGCAACCACTGCAACTCCATAGACTTGAATGGGTTGCCTAAACCCAGTACCTAGTGGTTACAGCCGCTTAACCACATGGAGTCTTTTCCTGGATTATTGGCCTCAGCGCCAATGTGAATGAGGCTTAAAAAAATTGTATGTTCTCAAGCATTCCATTTAGGTCTGTGGGGCCAAAAACACCTGATTCTGCCTCATAGGTGGCTCATTTTCCTTTTGGAATGTCAGGCGTCGAGCTACAGGTACCTATACACTCATATACTGTATGAACAGCCACTGTAGATATTGAGCATGACTGGCAGGCTGGTGACACTTCTTCCATGTTCCCCTCCTTGTTGGGTACCAAGTTTGGGTCACATAGGAGGCCTACCCTGGGGTGGGTTCTTTTGGCCTATGCTAGGCTCCTGATACCGGTCACTCTCCTACAAATGGGGCACCTTTGCTTGAACAGACGATTAGACTTTAGTAAACTCTCTTAATGTTACTATACACCATTACATCACTTGTTGCATTTAGGAGGGACATGCAGAGCCTATGCCCTCTTCACCTGTCCAGCGTATCTCCACTACCTCACTCCCAGTAGCAGAATGGAACCCCACTGTGCACCTAGCACAGGCTCCATGTCATTTAACTCTTGATCTTCCGTTCTGCACAGAATGGGGACCTCTGCAGTGCTCATCTTCTCCTGTTGCTATGGGAGACGGCTGCTCGAAGGAGTGCTGATATCTCCCTTGCTGCAAGAGGCTACCCCATCCGACATCGGTACACGCTTATGACAGGCTACTTGACTGACTGTTAGCTTTCGTTACCCCTGGTAGCCACTTGCTGTCTTCATGCCCCAATGTCCTGTTAACTATGTGTGGTGCCGATTACTTGCATTACACTCCTTTAATAACTTCAGACCAGGCAGATGGCAAAGTTTTTTTTAAAGCTTCACTGGAAATGCTCTCAATATTTCAAAGCACCTTATTCCCTACATCCCTAAATCTCAGGCTTGTGTACTGCCCCGGCATACCTGTTAAGATATACTCCATGTGTGGCAGTGTCCATTTCCCGTGGAATCCAGCAGCTGGCATGTTTAGGGTGGACTACAGGATCCAGCAGTCTCCCTACATGGCTGAAGGTTCCTGAAGGCAGGCGATGTTAGACACAGCAATGGATACAGCATAGAATCCCAACGGTGACAGCAGCGGAGGAACTCTCTGGGCTCTGGATCACTGTCCTTAGCACAGGACCAGTGGTCAGACCCAAAAAGGGTAAATGAGAACCTGCCTACAAGCGTTTTGGATCTTCAGGCTCCTTAAGGGCCCCTTTGCACCCTTGGGTTTCATTAACATGCATGTTTTTGTGCATTGAAGTGCAATAAGTTAAGGTGGCCCTAACAGTTTGGTTGTGCTCTTGACTTGCTGAACAAGAACGTACATGGATTATTTTTTGACGACGTAGCATGCCAAAACACACACAACATTCTCGCAAGTGTGTTGTGGTGTGCTATAGTGCAAGTGCATTTTAATTTTAAATAACAATCTGTACAATCTCCTTTTAGATTTACCAACATGTACTGTATAAAGTGCAAGGTCTTGCCTTATTGGATACAAATTGATTGAATAGTCTGCCCCAAACACAGACCGTGTGAATTCGGGAAACCACATGTGCACCCACACGGATGTAATCAGGGCTGCTGTTAGAAACCACGGGGCCCCATTCAGCAAACCTGATAGCCAACCCCCCCCCCCCCCCCATAAAAAAAGAAAACATTTACTGTGTCAGTTATGGATGAACACTGTGTGTGATCGGTACGGAACAATAATTTGGTACATTAAGGAAAGGGCTGGTAAGTCTGACATTTACTGGGCCCTTCCCCCCACTCTCTATCCTGAACTATCCTATTGTGTGCTTGTAGTTGGAAAGGAGGAAGCTGGCAGCACTGTGGAGGTGGGGGCACACAGCGGGGCCTAGACAGAAGGGGGAAATGTATGGTGCTCAGGGAGGGTAATGGGTGGGGTGGCAATTACTGGAACTGATCCCCTGTATGGCTTACTCTGCAGCAGCTGAAAGTCAGCAGGTAGGAGAGGAGAAGAAGCCAATCGCCCTCCCTGCCCACATCCGATTCACCCACTGCATGCGCCTCTCTGCTGGTCTGGGCCCCGCACATGAGGACTGGTGATACCCCCTTATCCACAGCCCTGGATGTCATATTGGGAGCAGCTGCCATGTCAATGCATCCGTTGCGGCCAATTTGACATCGATGGGACCGCCTTCACGGGATGGATAAAATTCCAGTGCATCCCCAAGTGAGTAAACATGGCCCTGTATGGGTGTATGGTATAGTACGCCCCATATGAATGAGGTCTACATGTTCACAATCTCCCAGAGATCACAGTACTCCCCCCGACAATGCATTTTTTTTAAAAGGCTGGGGCCATCTTTGTTCAGGCACTTAAGCACGTGCCGGTCTGGGTATAGCAAACTCATTATTGGTCGCTGTGTTGTCTGCCATTTTGGGAGCAGAATAATAAGGAAGATTATGTAGCCGGCCATCTGCGGGGATAAATGGAACATTTAAATTTTACTTTATCAGCCGTCTTGGCGTTATTAATAACTGCGAGCCTGTTCTATAAATAGCCATCTGTAGAACGCCTTTTCCCTGTCTGGTGGTGGTGGCTGGAGAGAGGTCATTAAATGTCCCTCAATCACCGCTGTCACCGACATCCATGCGGTACAAGCTGGCTATGCTGGTGGTGGCTGTGTGAGTGTGAGGAAATTAAATCACTTAGCATGCTAAAAATGTTTGTTCTATTTGTTTTGTTGCTTTTTTGTGCTGCAAGGCAGCACTACCAGGTTTGGTCCCCCTGGGCCCGGCTTCCTTCTGGGATTGCTATGTCCCAGCGATCCCAAGAGGCAGTATGTTACTAAGCCACAAGTTTTTGGTGCTTGTGTGCAAGCATATAAAGGCCGCGGGACACTATAGTGGCCATCCACCAGAAGCTGGTGGCATTTGTGTGCACATGCGGGAATCCACCACGTGTGTCTGCCAGCTCCTAAGTGCCTTAAAGAGACCAGTGGCAGGGGGAGGTAATTTAGAAGCAGCCACCAAAAATGTTGTGTTTTCATCAGTATTTCGATTTCTTTTGTTTTTTTAAAAAATTTAATGCATTTCTGTGTTTTTTGTTTTTTTTTTTTCTTATGGGCCCATGCAAACAAATCAGGAAATGTATGCTGCATTCTGAATCTGAGTTAAAATCACATATCAAAATACAAAAATCTGCATCCAAGGTCAGGAATGTATGCATACAAACACGTGTACATATAAGTATATATTTATTGGACATAGAATTTTACTCATCTAAGGTCTTTACGGATGTTTACACATCTAAACACACGTAGACACAAGCAAGTTACGGACCACATGTGATATTAATGCAGGTCTTTGTAGGCGAAATTCTACTTGGATGATCCGAAATTTCATTACAACCCTGTACATATACATACACTATATTGCCAAAGGTATTGGGCCAGCCCTCCAAATCATTGGATTCATGTGTTCCAATTACCTCCATGGCCCCAGGTGTATAAAATCAAGTCCCTAGGCATGCAGACTGCTTCTACAAACATTTGTAAAAGCATGGGTCGATCTCAGGAGCTCAGTGACTCCAGGCGTGGTACCATGATAGGCTGTCACCTGTGCAATAAGTCCATCCATGACATTTCCTGGCTACTAAATATTCCACGCTCAACTGTTAGTGGGATTATAACAAAGTGGCAGCAACTGGGAACAACAGCAACTCAGTCACCAAGCGGTAGGCCACGTAAGATGACAGAGCGGGGTCAGTGCATGCTGAAGTACACAGTGCGCAGAAGTCTGCAGAGTCAATAGCTAAAGACCTCCAAACTTCATGTGGCCTTCATATGAGCACAACAGTGTGTAGAGAGCTTCATGGAATGGGTTTCCATGGCCGAGCAGCTGCATCCAAGCCTTCCATCATCAAGTGCAATGCAAAGCGTCGGATGTAGTGGTGTAAAGCATGTCACCACTGGACTCTAGAGCAATGGAGACATGTTCTCTGGACTGAACAATCATGCTTCTCTGTCTGGCAATCCAATGGACATATCTGGGTTTAGCAGTCGCCAAGTGTAAAGTTTGGTGGAGGGGGGATTATGGTGTGGGGTTGTTTTTCAGGGGTTGGGCTTAACCCCTTAGTTCTAGTGAAGGGAACTCTTAAGGCGTCAGCATACCAAGACATTTTGGACAATTTCATGCTCCCAACTTTGTGGGAAGAGTTTGGGGATGACCCCTTCCTGTTCCAACCTGACTGCCCACCAGTGCACAAAGCAAGGTCCATAAAAACATAGAGAAGCCAGTTTGGGTTGGAGGAACCTGACTGGCCTGCACAGAGTCCTGACCTAATCCCCATAGAACACCTTTGGGATGAATTAGAGCGGAGACTGCGAGCCAGGCCTTCTCATCCGACATCAGTGCCTGACCTGGTCTTGCAGGTCCTGACTTGTTCTGACTTTGGGGGCGGTTGTTGGTCTTTGGAGATGGCAAATTATTTTAAGCGAAAGCGTATGGATGGGACTCATCAGTAGTATGGTGTGCCTGGCTGCATTCTGGTTAACCGAGGTTTAACTGGAAGGTGGAGGTTTTACACTGCAGAAGGTGTGTTTTTTGTCTCCGAGCCAGAGCGTTGTGGCTGGAGACCTAGTAGGGGGATATTGGTATTGTTTGGTGCCTTTGTAGACCAACAATTTTATCCTGTATGTTTCTGTTTTAAGGAATGTTTTTGTGATTGAAGTTGAATTGGTAATAAAAGGCCGTGAAGGCCATTTTTACCCCAACGGTGTTTGGTCTCCTTTATTGGTATATTGAGACTTGGGGGGAGGGGGTATATCAAGAGAGTCTGGTATGGTTTATTAGTTATGGTCTTAACTAGTACATCTCTTCTACACTAGTCATGTATCGGCAAACACCCATGCACCTCGGTGCAACGCAATTTTCCAAAAACGGTCAAGGACTTCTATCCCTACGTTTCTGGGCTGCCTATACGCAGATCACAGAACGCACTACTGTAGTAACGATTCCTATATCTCTTTCCCCGACAATAGTTTCATGTCTCAGCCAGCAGATGCCAAAAAAAGTTCCCCTCGCATGTATGAAGCGTCGGAACTCGTCAGAAGTAAAATCGTACAGAATATCAATCTATGCCATAACCATCCCCAAGGCCTGCCTCGTGAAAAGGCTCAAGTCCGTTCTATGCCCGCTTCGGATATTGTACATACGTAATACGCTCTTTAGAAAGCATGACTGCAAATCGATGATGTAAAAAAGTCCTATTTATAGAATCCTGCAGTGTTTTATGATTAACGTTTAATGTACACGATGCCCAGAAGGCAGCCGCTAATCACATTTGTCTTTTATTTGCGGGCATTTATTAATGCCTAAGCCTCAAGTGCTTCTTCAAAGAGGACACGACTTTCGAGCTCGGAGGTTGGCTAGTAAGATGGTTCTCATTGCTCATGCAGAGTGCAGCTCAATCTGGCGTGAGTCTTATCTGCGTGCCGTAATTTTAGAGCCGCGTTGAGTGCCGTCATGAGGTTGAAAGCCCAGATACAGCCATTTCCAGGCATTTGTGTGCACTCAGGAATGACTGACGTCCATTACAGCTGCTCTTCCCCACTTGTTCTGATATTTTCTGTATTTTCTCTTCTGTTTCATCCAGGAACTCCAGCCCAGCAGGTCTCGTCCTCACAGTGGTGATCGCCATTTGCTACAAAGTCGCCATTTTGTTTGAAGGGTAAGACACTTTTAGTCTTTTTCAGAGCAAAGAGAACAGGTCCCAAAACAAGTTTATACAGATAAAAAAAAGGAACTTTAACCCCTTGCCCTCCAGAGGATTTACCCCCCTTCCTGACCAGGCCATTTTTTTACGTTACAGCGCTGTGTTACTTTAACCGACAATTGTACGCCCTTTTTTTTTTCCACAAATTGAGCTTTCTTTTGGTGATATTTGATCGCATGTGCAGGTTTTTTTTTTTTTGCGCTATAAAAAGGCTGACAAATTTGAGGAAAAAAAACAATATTTATGACTTTTTGCTATTAAACATGTCCAATAAAAAAAGCAAATTTGGTCATAAATTTACGCCAAAATGTATTCTGCTCCATGTCTTTGCTAAAAAAAAATTAATTGGTTTATGTGAAAGTTTTAGCATTTACAAATGGCGGTATAGATACTGGAATTTTTTTTTTTTTTTTACTAGTAATGGCAGTGATCAGCAACTTATAGCGGGACTGAAGGACTACGACGAGCATTCTGACACTGGGGGGAACTGATTTGGTGTCACTGACATCCCCAGTGACACAAATACAGTGATCAGTGCTAATGGCATTGGGCAGGAAGGGGTTAACATGAGGGGCGATCAAAGGGTTAACTGTGTGCTGGGAGTGTTTTACTAGTGGTGGTGTCTGTGTGTTTCACTGTAAGCACACTGTATTTTAAATAAGGGGGCACCCTGATGTTTAAAGGGTTAAATGTAGTAAAAAAAAGAGACCAGTCTTTTGAAAAAAATATTTTATTGAACAAAAAACAAAACAGAAGTCCATTATTAAAAAAAAAAAAAAAAAAAAAAAGCAGTCGTTGTAATCCATCATCAATCATGGCTTCCAGTGTTGTCAGGACGCTGCTGATTTGCCGAAATAAGAAAAAGAAATTACACCCACCGAGCACTCGCCTCAGTCTAACAGGTCTGATAGTTACCGGTCAGAAGTAAACAATTGGGCTAATCACAATGCACTTGAGAGTGCAGTGCATTGTGGGGCACAGCGGGCAAATAACCCACCCAACGCCATTACTGTTCATGTGTTCGGCAAACATTTACGTTCAACTCACACATCAAGGTCATCACTACCTGGAAGGTGCTGTGCAACATCAGAGTTCACCAGGCAAGCATTATCAGGTAGTGCAGAGTGTGATGCAGGAGTGGCTCGGTGTGTGGACGTCATTAGAACCTAGTGTTGAGCACACTGCTGGGCTGGAAACATCAATGATATCAATCAATAGGTTCTTTGGATGACCATTGTAGTAATCCCCCCAACCCACCCATTTTACTTGGTTTTTACTTGTATTTTTGTAGGTGGTGTGCAGACCATCTTTGTTCACTAACAACCAATCAGTTCCCAATCCATTTTTCTTGGACAAATCTCAGATTTTGAGAAGCATTTAAATTACACAATTTACCCGGCTTCTTGAATATTCACGTACAGTATGGCCGCCTCCTCACTGTGTAGCCAATGAGTAAGCCATATGTTTGCGCCTTGCTGTGCGATACTGTGACCTGTATAGGCAGAAGTGGACCAGTCTGCTCCCTCTGAGAGTTTATTATTGGAAAAAAGGAACATTTGACGTAAATAGGTTGTAATGGCTATTCGTTCTTGGGATGTGGGTGGATGTGTTAATGTCATTTCTATTTCTGTGCATAAGGAGAATGAGATAGGAGATAGAGACTGTTATATCAGAAACCGGACTGAAAATTATAAAGATTCCACAAGTAGCACAAACACTAAGCTGTTTCTATAGAGAGAAGAAGGAGACGGTGAGGGGGGGCAGTTACTGAAAGAGCTGCAAAGGGACAAAAGTCAGGCATGGGGGTAAAATAAAGCAACAATTAGAAGAACTATAGTTAATGTATGTGTTCTCATTTGACTTTGGGTCCCCTTTTCCAAGGGTCAAAGAGCTTTATTAAAGGCATAGCCCACCTTTTACTAAAATTGAATAAATGCACCCACATTCGGCTTTTTTCAAGCATTTAAAGTGTTACTAAACCCCGGACCCTGCTTTCACTATATCTAGTTTCCCCGGACCCTGCATTCACTATATCTGGTCTCCCCGGACCCTGCATTCACTATATCTGGTCTCCCCGGACCCTGCATTCACTATATCTGGTCTCCCCGGACCCTGCATTCACTATATCTGGTCTCTCCGGCCCCTCATTCACTATATCCGGTATCCCCGGACCCTGCATTCACTATATCTGGTCTCCCCGGAAATTGCATTCACTATATCTGGTCTCCCCGGACCCTGCATTCACTATATCCGCTCTCCCCAGACCCTGCATTCACTATATCCGGCCTCCCCGGACCCTGCATTCACTATATCCGGCCTCCCCGGACCCTGCATTCACTATATCCGGCCTCCCCGGACCCTGCATTCACTATATCCGGTCTCCCCGGACCCTGCATTCACTATATCTGGTCACCCTGCATTCACTATATTTGGTCTCCCTGGACCCTGCATTTACTATATCTGATCTCCCCGGACCCCCCGCATTCACTATATCTGGTCTCCCACAGTACAAACAACATGGAAATGCAAATATTGTAGTAAATATAAACTGCTAAATACCTTTTCTCATCAGCAGTATATAGCAGTCTTGTCACTTCTATCAGTGCCCGGCTGAGCACTAGTTAAAGCTTGTAGGAGGAGTTATCATTCTCCCCAGATTATCCTATGAGGCTGCATAACCCCTGACCCTCTGTCTTGGCCCTGTGCTGATCATATGCACCCTCCCAAACTAAGAAAAAGCTCTCTAGCAATACGAATCAAACTGAGCATGTGCAGAGTGACTCCTAGAGCTCTGTACTATCAGCAGATGTATTGGGGACAGTAGAGGAAGGGGAGGATCAGAGAAGACAGGGTCAAACAGTCTTTTTACACAATGCAGAGGATTAACCCCTTAGGTTCCACATTGAGTATAACAAACATGTTTTACTGCATATACAGACTGATTTTACTGTTGTGGGAGGAGCACCATTGTAAGGGTGTTTTTTCCCCAAAGTTCAGCTTTAACTTATTTTTTTTAAACATATGCTCAGCCTGAAGAGTAATTTGAAAGGATATGAATATCCCATGCGGCTATTATGTGAAAGGAAATCAGATAGCATATTTCAGGGATCTCCAAGCTACTGCCCATGGGCTAAA